CTCTCGAGATTCGTTTCCATCGGGGACAAGGTGTTTCTTAGGTGCTCAGTTATGTCACCAGCAAATTAATTTGAATAACAAACTACAAATAAGACTCTATAGTCTTTCTTTGGCTTCGTTATACAGGTTATCTCTCGTAAAATCAGCAAAGTATTAAAAGTGAAACAACAGTCGGAAGTGAATTGAACTAAACGTATAGTATTCGCACCAGCCTAAATTAATTTTTAACTCAACTATCTCATTCAATTCTATTTATTAGCTCAACTGTCAGCACCAAATTGCGAAAGCAGATTTGTAGAGCAATTTCAGAAACGACCGACTAAATTGTTTCCTATATGATACGGTGCGCCTCGGTGAAACAGGGGCTACGGTGCATAGCTGTTGACCTGAACCTCATGAGTTTCATCGGGCCCGTAGTGGTCGCATTTCAATGGAGTGGAAACGGCAGAGGCCCGTTTACTCTGCGATGTCAGTGCCTGATAAAGAACACCAGAGGGTCAAAGTCTTCAGAGTCCTGCCGCACGGCTCTCACAATAATATCTTTGTTTGAGACGCAGAACCACACAAAATATATTAATATATGTATTATTATTATTATTATTATTATTATTATTATTATTATTATTATTATTATTATTATTATTATTATTATTATTATTATTATTATTATTATCATTATTATTATTATTATACCACACGTCTCGCGTAGTCCTTTTTTCATCGTTTAATTATTTCTTTGGGGTGATTGAAAGTTGCACTCACGTTTCGATTCCATACACTAAAACCATCACTGAGTTGATTCGCTGATTTTATAATATCATGCGAAGAGAAAATCCTATAATGCTGCCTCTCGTACAACCTTATTGCACCTCACGTCGTTTAAATAAACCGCGAAGCCTCCTACGCATACAAGTAGAATCGCTAAATCTTAATAATCCGTTGTGCAGCCAATTTAGGGGACGAAATAATGGCCATCTTTCTAAATATCAGTGTCCTAATAACTGTTGTACAAGCTTGTTTTACTTTTAAGTGTTTTGTAACAACTGTGAATGAGCTTAACTACACGGTTCTCCTGCTCCTCATACCCTTACTTGCGCAATCTGTATCTCACGGAATGCTCCGATGTAGAAGTCTTTCAGGAGATTATAATGAACAAAATGAATAAAATAGCACGTTTCTTTCATTCGGATGTAATGCTTTTGTTCGAGCCAATGTGAATTCATGTACACTTTACGGGCCAGCGCGGAAAAAGGCAGGCAGGAAATGCTGACTGATGGAATGGGTATTTTGCGTACTATGTTTTTTGCTGTTGGTCTTTAGCAGCCATTCCTTGTTAAGAGCTGAAGTGCTCTCTTTCTATACGGACCCAACGATATACATGAACCTACTGATGTGATAATCTCTTGTTCACTTGGGATCATTGTAAATGTGCGTCAAATAATTGGAAGTCTCATGCCTGATCATGCTTTAATATATATTGTTCACGTTATTCATATATATATGAACAACGTGAACAAACTATGTTCTAGAGTATCAAGTATCGCGGCTAATCATCTTTGCGAGGAGCGAATATATGGACTTGTACGCACGGTGCTTCAAACCATATGTCAAAAGCGTTCCGTCACGTTGTATGATAACTTATCAATATCTTTTTACATGCACGGTTTAGGCGTGTTCTTCTTTCGGTTTGCGCTACGGTTTGAAACTTTGGAATTCAATCCATATAGATTCACAATCTTGAATTGTTTGAACGATAGGTTACTTTTCATGAAGTGCTTGCATGCTATGTCTCTTGTCATAGAGTGTTTTTACATTTGTTCTTTTATGAAGTGTTGTGTGTTATATGTGTAATTTCATGGAGTGCTTGCATACGTTTGTTTCCATGAAGGGCTTGCATGAAGCCAAACTGCATTGCTTTATCTGCAGTTAAAAGTGTATACATGCCGATACTTTATTGTGATACGTGCAGCAGAACATTGCGTATGCATGCCAAATGCGCAAAGGAGTAAGAGCTTCTTCATATCTTACTCCTCTTCCTGTAAAAATAAAGAGATATAATAAACTACAAAGTACCACCACACTCTTCAATTTTCTATCTAGATGATTCAAACTATGCGTTAACCAAATGTGGTTCACGAGTTCCGAGAATTCACCACTAATGCCACCGGAGATTCACGCTTTCTATAATATGAAGAACATCGTGTTTCGGGCGATTGATGCCCGCAGATCATTTGTGCGTTTCTATCACAACTACTTTCCGACTAAATATCGTCGAAATTTCATGAAAGTTCCGGCACACGTGTTACAAAAAAAATTTGTTCCATGGTTTAGATGTAGTTCCGATAATAGTCTTAAAAAATGCCAGCATTTACAAAAAATTATCGCGGGACTTCTACTGACTTGTGATGTATATTTATAGACCATGGGCCATTTTTTCTAGCTGGAGACATCATGCGTACTCAACTCATTACAATGAGTGGCTGTTCAAGTCGCTGTCTATGTTTAATATGTATGGGGAAGTTAAGCAACAGCTGATACAAATCCTTGTCGCCATGGCCGCATGAACATGTTGTAGACGACCCACATTGAATTCTGAGTAAAGCGTGCTTCGTGTAAAAAGTTGCAAGTCGGAAACGATGTATCAGGTTGGCAATGCGTCGTAACAAGCGAAGGTCTTGTAGGTACTCAAGAGGCAGGGCAACTGCGTGTAAAATTGATGTTACCACTATAGCGTCAAACAGATCGTGCCGTGAACAATGCGGCGTTGGAGAAGTTTGATCATGGGCGAGAAATAGGTGTTGTCCGCAAAAGGGAAATCGTGATGGATGCAAACAATAAACAATAAAGATCAGGTTTCCGTGCCTCAAAAGAACGCAGGCATGCGGCGTGACGGTCAGGTGTTTCACAGCATAGGCGAACCGGCCCTTCAAAATGCGTTGGATGAAATTTTATACAGATGTGAGTTAGTGCAAGGGGTTGAATTGAAATATTGTATTTTGCGGCACACGTGTAAAATCGTGTGAGGCATCACACTGTGTGAACTGTGGAATGATTCCGTGCGTTAAAAACACAGCCATTACAAAACGATGTAGCCTAATATATTCTCATAATAAACCACACCATCAACAAAATGTGCACCTGTGTGTCTGTGTCGCTTTGGTGTCAGGTAATACTGAGTGCAGTATATACAAAAATGATGAAGTATGGCGTAACGGGCACTTCACAACACTACCTGCCGCAGACATTTTGGGGCAGTGAAACGGGCAATTTCGCATGCACGGATCACGCTTCTTTCCTCGCCCTCGTTGTGTGGCGGAGATGTCCTCTGAGATACGAAGCCTGGGAATTGAGTGCAGAGATGATGCGAGCAGGACCCATTCAGGCTGTCGCGTTCCACCTTGATTGTAAAGTGAAAGGAGTTTCCCCGTAGTCCACCTAGGATGTGGTGTATGTCTTTTTGTAGAGTGGAAACGATGCCAGTTACCGAATAATCGTGAGCTGCTGCCACCATTACGTCCACTATTTCATTTCGTTTGAATCCCCAGTGAATTGGAACCCACTCGAATATTACGCTGTATTCCGACCTCCTGAGACACTTCAGTTCACATTGTGTACATAGAATTCTCGATGTACAAAATACATTTAAATTAATGTTTTTTTTTCTTTTTCTGTTGTGAATGATGGCGAGAATGATACACTAACACATTTTGGTAAATCTGCCTCAATGAGTTTAACGTTTTTCTCTGCGATATGTTTAAGCCTCTTGAACGTACGAGTCATAAGAATTCAATAGGATGTCTTTTAAAGTTTACAGCTCACCGCTCCTGTTTTATAAATAAAATAAATAATAAGAATGTAATGGTACAGAACCATCTCTAATGAAATGTCCTTAACACATTAAAGAAAAGTTTCAGTGGATTAGTTATGCAGCCAAGCATATGTCAGTTGGCAAGCGAATTTTAGTGTACATGGACTAAACTTACGTAAGTCGTCTGTCACTTTTTGCTTTCACGTCACCGCAACCGATCATTTCTACGGTAAAAAAATAGCTTCAAGATAACAAAAACACTAGCACCTAATTGTTTTACAAACGCATTTCCGGTCTTCTTCGCTTTCCGCTCTCAGTGAACTACAAACATGATCGGGTATTTCTTTCATATTAAATTTACTATGCGGAAATTTTCTGTCTAAGAAAGCTTTTTTAACCTCTTTTTCATGGTTTGCCCTTTAATAAAATGTTCTCGTGTAATTGAGGTTAGTCAGAGATTATTACAGAGCAACCCTGCACAGATAGAACGGTGGGGGGCAGCTTCACCGGTGGCATCCTGCTCAGCCGCCCTCATCGCAAACTCCGATCACGCAGCGCCTGTATCGCTCAACCGTTATGTACATTGCGATGCGCCAGTGAACCGGAGTTATGTTAGCAACCGTTTTCCCCTCAGGCTCAGTCAAGCCGCTGGAGCAACAAAAAACAAACAAGTGCTTGCATTTCAACTCCGTCCTGACACCTTGCTTATAATCCTGCCTCCTGGAAACTCAGCTGCGCTTTCTTCTTTTATTTTTATTTTTCTTCTCGGAAAACATATCTTTTTTTTTTACGTCTTTAGGTGTCATGAGGTCCGAGAGATCTTTTTCAAACACGCCACCACCTTCGCGTGCATCTTTCATTTATTTCTCTTTGAATTCCACAGTCTCGTTTTGAGGATTGGACGAGTCACGGTTTTTCTCGACAGCGGCCAGGCCTGTTCGCGCACAGCGACGAGAAGCCGGGAGGCCAGTACTCATTGCTAGGCTGGGCTTGTCGTCCTAACAGGTCCTGCGAGGAAGCGCGGACGCGGTGGTAAAAATAATAAAATTAACTCAAGACTGATATTCAATAGCGATTGCTGGACGCTAGAGCTGTCCTCAAGGACACGTAGTCTCCGCTGCACTCGGATTCACCACTTCGGCGATTGAGGGAGAGTCTATGAGTGAAAGGGTTGTTCCGCTTCCAGCCACTACGGTCGCCGCTGTTGCTGGCTTGTCGGAGCGCCCCTTCGCCCACCGTGATTCGTGGCTCATCGAAGGGGATCTTCGTTCATCCTCCTCTCCATCATCGCGTACGTGATGTCCGGTCCTTCTTGGCGGCGCTTCTGGAAGATGGCCTTAGCGCCACGCTTCAACTCATGCCTATAAAAACGCCGCACATCGCCCATCGTCTACCACATCTTCCTCTTACATCCGGCCGATCGGACACAAGGAGCCCATTCGACGATGCTGTGCAAGGTAGGAATCGGACTGAATCACGAAGGACATATAAGAAGAAAGAGATCCTGTGTCACCACGGATCAGATTACAATGTTCGACGACCATGGGTAAACGGATACAAAGAAAGCTAACATCATTGACCTGTTGATCTTTCGCAGGTTGCCTTCCTTGGCCTTTTGGCCATTGCTGCCGCCCAGGTCCAGCTCCAGGAGAATTACGTAGGTTTTGTCTTCACTGAATTTAGTTCTTGTTATTACACGATAGCGTAATTGCATAGATGTTTACTGGTGGATTGTTGCCTTTTAACCGAAGTATCGGGTATCATTTGCTCAAGAGTCATAATGACACATATAAAATACAAATAAGGTTCCTGTTTTGCTGTAAAGCGAAATCTTGACCTCCTTTTAAAGTAGTTTAAAATTTAAAAGAAAATTCACAGCTGCCAATAAGGCAGCTATATGCCAATTTCAAAGAAGTACCGCTTTTAAAGAGAGAATAAGTCATATAGGTTTCAAGATTTAATGAAAGAGCAACAGCAATTCTGCCATTTCTCGTAGAAACTAAAAAGCGGCAATGGTGATAGGTAGCTGAGGCTGATTACGTAGCAACAATAAGAGTTACTTTAAACCTTTGCTGACAACTAGGTTGCGTAGATAATAATGGTCAAAGTAGAGCTTCCCCAAAGCAGTGCTTATTAAAGTACGCTACATCACGAAAATAATATTGTTAGTACGGTAAGTTCGTTTAGTAACATGTCCATCTAAGCATGTTATTGCATAAAGCCTGTGTATTGCTTCATGCTAGCGTTTTTCTTATGCACTGCTCGTTACTTTCACAGCCTGCCCAGCCATACACCTTCAGCTACGACTCTACTGGTGAGGACGGTGGCCGCATCAGCCAGCAGGAGACCGGTGACGAGAGGAACTTCAAGACCGGCAGCTACAGCTACCAGACCCCAGACGGTGTCTACCGTACCGCCAACTACGTCGCTGACGACCAGGGCTTCCGCGTGTCTATCGACACCAACGAGCCAGGCACCAAGGCTGAGAACCCAGCTGATGTGACCCTCAACGCCAACCCAATTGAGGTCCCAGCCACCGCCTACACCTTCGGCAAGTCCAAGAGCTAAATCACTCGCCTCGTTTCGATAGCGAGATAGAGCTGTGTAAATTAAAACGAGATTATTCCCGCCACTGCCGCAACTTCATCGCTTCCGATCTGTCTACTCGGTGCTCTTCACACTGCTGACTGCGACTGCATTATTTCTATTCCCTTTTTCCTCTGTTCTCGCGTTTGGACGGTGTATCACTGCACACAAGACGTGACCTCCTGTTGTGAACCTTCTAACTTCGACTCCGAGCTCCTCCACTCTTCCACTGACTTCTACAGTGCAAACTATTGTCCTGTCCACTAAACTGGAAACAAAAGAAAAATAAAGTTGTTATTTTTTGTTGTTTAGAAAGTTGGCTCTTTCTCATGCTCCCCTGGTGTCCTGCACAGGTGAACCAGATTTCAAAACCAATTGTTATCAGAAATCTGCGCTCCTGTTTTTACACAATGACACAAAATTGTCTAGTGCAACGAATGCATGTTTCTGTGTGCGTTGTACTGTAAGGTAATATTAGTCACAGGGGCCAGTTATCTTATTTATGCTTAAGGAATCAGACCATTGGTTCAAAACACAAGGCTAGCATCCAATGTGTATCAACGGCCTTAAGTTTAAGAGACTAGGCGAATTGGTTTGATCCAAAGGGCAATGATCAACATAGTAACGGGGACGTGAAGCTGCGTAGAAAAAGCGACAGCCCTCCAAAAGTAGTTTTTAGGTGCAATTACCACTGCTCTTTCGCACCTCACAAAGATTGGAAAAGTGCAGGTGAAGCTATCATTACGGGTTATTGTTGAGATGTGGTACAAATAGAACTCTTTCTGTATTGCATATATATGAGAAGATGATGCAATCTTGTAAACGTAAAAGCTAGAAGTAATAGAGCGTGATCACAAGCGTAAGACTACAGTAATAAATTTCAGATTGACGCAAAAAAACAACATTTACACTGATATCAGAGAAACGCTGTATTTTTGCTGCAAAGAAACAGTATTGAAGGTTAAATAACTATCGTTACCGTGAAGTATCCGCGCATTTTACTGTTCTATATTGAGCTCACACAACATTAGTAGCTCCCGAAAAATTGTTGGGAAACAATCCCAAGTATTGTGTCCCGATTAAAAAAGAAAGTTTGCACTGGACTTACCTATGTAGAACTTCGGAGAATGGACTAAAATGGATGAATTTTCCAGCTTGCATCAAAAAAAATTTGAATGGCCTATTTGTGCACTGAAAACAATGAAGCGTCAAAATGGCCTAGGAAAGTGTTTTGATGAGCTAGTTGGCGCATAAAATCCGAAGTAAAATTATTTCAGCGCAAAGCAACGCACGGACAGAGAGCACAGGACTACTGCTCGACTGCCTGTGCGTTGATTTCTGCGCTAGAATATATTTTTTGCAGACGTCGAGAAGGACTTTCTTGCTATTTATATCGCTTACAGTAAATGTTTATGTTGGGAATAACATGAGCGAATGCCTGTTTTTCACCGGTTTTAGATGCCCGTCTCAATCGTGAATCTTGTGACACATTTTAGGGTGTTCAGACAAGTTTGTTGAATTTACCCACGTTGACGTCAGTGGGCGCTGAGGCCTAATACCCGCGTTTCTATAGTTATCTATTCCGGATAATCTAATGATGTGCGATGATACGATGCTGAGGTTCTACGTGTGATGTTAATGTCACAGTTAAAATGAATAATGTAAAACTACATTTAGCATCGTCAATCGTTCATAGTTGGCCGACATAACTAACATTTTTAAAAATATACAAGGGTCCCCCTACGAAGTATAGCACTAAACCTTTGTTTTGATTCTTCACATATTCTTACAATATTGAAGTGGTTATGGTCGACCTGCACAAAGTAGATATTGACAAGAGTTTCTGCGGAAATGTTGTAGGCACGTGTGCTCAGATTTGGGTGCACGTTAAAGAACCCCAGGTGGTTGAAATTTCTGTAGCCCTCCACTACGGCGTCTCTCATAATCATATGGTGGTTTTGGGACGTTAAACTCCACATATCAATCAACAAGAGTTCCTGCACCGTCAGCTGCACAATAGTAAGGAAAACAGGTTGTGGTAGGTAACAAGCCATGGCACTGTACTCCTGATTAGGGGCCCGTTGATTGCATACAGTTGACACACGATGCTAAAAATATTGCTATACCGCGCGAAAATACGTGCACACGAGTAACTACACAGATAACATTACAAACCCAGTTTAAGAATGTCTGACCGCAATGAACCAACTGGCCAGCCTGAATGTCTTACTCAAATGGAGCAAGGTAGTGAATATTAGTGTCCATCATTTTATTAAGCCAGATGAAGAAACAAAGTATTGCAGTTTTGATGATGCAAACATCAAACTGAAACTGGAAGCTTCATACTAATGTAAGTTGAAGGTTCGTAGCATTTAGCTCTATTCGAATTGGCAAGTATATCTGGGAGTGAACAAATCACTTATAAAAGAAATGTACGTTCTGTAGTAGAAAAATCAACGGAGGTTGTCAAAGGAACGTTTCTGGGTAGATATAAGCTTTTCATTACCTTTTGCGCATATCCGCATACCGAGTTGCATATTAGGCAGGTATGTGCCACACGTGGCTGACGTAAACGATTTCAACGAAGTGTGATTGATGATTGATATGTGGGGTTTAACGTCCCAAAACCACCATATGATTGGAAGATGCGCCGTATAGTGGAGGGCTGCGGAAATTTCGACCACCTGGGTTTCTATAACGTGCACCCAAATCTGAACACCCGGGCCTACAGCATTTTCGCCTCCATCGAAAATGCAGCCGCCGCCGCCGGGATTAGATCCCGCAACCTGCGGATCAGTAGCCGAGTACCTTAACCAGTAGAGCACCACGGTGTGGCTTAAAGACGTGCGATATGGCCTTCTCGCGTTATTCATGTCATGAGCAAACAGTCACATTCGTCAAACCATCTTACCCTCAGATAGTTAAAAGGTCAAGGAAACGATCACGAAAGCATCCAGGCGTAGGCAGCTAGATAGATATAATAGACACATACGTAGATAGAAACGCTAAAACAGCCGGAAGTTCGCTAAACATGGTTCCCATTTAGAAGAACGTATTAAAGGCAAAAAAACAGAGGACAAAAAGCATGGTTAATCCACAGATTGTTCGTGGGTCAGTTGGTACATACTGAACGACAAAACATTGCGCTTAGATGGTACAAACAGTTACAAGAGGCACACATGCACTCGTGATTCTTTTAACTTTTTGTCCTGTCTAGTCTCGCGGTTTCACGCTCTGTATGGTTGATCCATCCGTCAAAAGAGTCGGCATAACACGAAAGTAAGGCATCTTCATATAGATTTGGTTTAATGTTTACATTAAATTGATATTTATATCAAATGAGCTTATACTATGTCTGTTGGTGTTTGACAGCTAAACACCGTTTTTCATAAATGCACCCAACTTGACACTCCGTGACAGATCTCCATTCTGACGGATAGCACGCTTGATTATGATTGATTAATGATCAAACATGACCATGGTCATGGATGGCTGTGGTAGCTGCGGCAGTTGACGGTGAGAGCGGAACCAAAGAAGGCGATGTGACAGCCAGAAGAGCATGACTGATTACACGCCGAACTTGGGCTGCATTCGCCTACTTGCGACATGTTCGAGTTATTTAACGCCATTGCCCGATTTGAAGGAAACGTAACGCGCGCTGTGTTTTCCCTGGCGGTCAGCCACGGTTTTCGCTAGGCGAGCGTTAGTGGCGAACGCAGTTACTTGCAGGCAAAGCAGGGCGCATTGCGGAACTATTTTTGTATGGGTGGATGCTATGAGCCACGCCGACGCTTTGTGTAAGGTCGCCGTTTGGTGGTGTGATAAGGTGTTGACAAAGTTGCGCTTCTCCCGTTGGAAACTTACCGAATATATAGGACGGACGCATCGGAACGGCGCGTTGAAGGAACTAATCAGGATGCCACAATCATGATGGATTGCTACAATTTAGCAATACTACTATGAAAGTGCAGTGGTAGAGGTAGTTTTAAAAGGCATATGTGAAGCCTACAACGCATTCGACCATCACGATTACATACGAATATACGAAATGCTGAGCCCCAAGCATGATCGATTAACGCGTATTTTGTTGAACAGGTCACGAAGGTGAAAAGTGCTGGAGCACCGAGGGGCAATGGATGAAATGCTTTGTATATTAGATATATTTAAACAGTCATGTCCGTAAGTGAATGCAGCCAGCCTTACGCATGCTGGTGGGTGATGTGTGACACGTGTCTATATGTATACAATGTATCAATATTGCAATAAAGAAACAGAGAAGTGGCCGAGGCACAGTGTTTAGCGCGCCCGGCACATGTTGTCACTGACTGAGAGGTCGTCGGTTTGACTCCCATTGACGGAACTTTTTTTTCTCTTCTGATCGCATGTACTTTTGCAATGTCATTGATGAAAATACGTCACTGAAGCCTTGCTGGAGCCCGGCCTAAAACACATTCGCGTTAAAACTGCTGCAAAACTTGGCAAAAAAACAAGAGCCAAGACAACATAGATGCCGATCATCTGAGTGGTCTCTAACACTGTGCCTCTTAAATAAAACCCACGCTAATTTTTGTGGTATAGGCTACTGCAGAAAAAATAATCTACTGAAGTTGTGTGCATTTGCGGTTACGCAGATGTTCTTTAAAATTTTACTTTCTTATTTTTCTTACCTTGAGTTTTTTCAAAAAAAAAAAAAAAACTTAGTGACTCTTCGCTCACCAATAACTCAAAGTAATTCTTCGTTGTTGCGTAAGTTGACAAAATGTAGTTGCTTCTCGTACTTTCATCGGCATGTAGCCATGTTTCAGTTAGGGAAAGTTTTGAGTATAGGGCGGAAAATTCTACAGCGTGACAGGTGACATACAGGCAGTTGCGCTGTCAATTATTCTAGAACGAACATCCACCAATTAGTCCTACTCGTGATTCTCCTCGGAGCAGGTGGATGAAATTAGTTAGGTTTGGCGATGATGCGAAACTTTAATACACTGGCAAATGTGTGTCGTTTGCACTTAACGTCTACAATGTATTCGCATTACGTCATCAGAGACCTCGTATTCGAGGGATAGGCCCTGTAATCTCACAACTGTTTCCCCGAACTAGTATTAGTATAGCGTAAATTTTTCAGTGGTTTCTTGCGGAACATTTTTCTGGATTAGCGGCAGTTTCATAAATGGCAAAAACAATTAAAACCCAACAGCACTACACATCTGTGACATATTTCGCGTAAGATTGCAATTTATATACATGTGTGTCTGTAGTTATATTTTAGGCATCAATCGGCACGCTACAGTTGAGGGCGACATTAAGTGTGACGCGGC